TTCCAAGTGCACAGAAAGTAGTTCTGACATAGAGTGTGGACATGTTCCGAGTGCACAGAAAATGGTTCTGACATAGTGTGTGGACATGTTCCAAGTGCACAGAAAATAGTTCTGACAGAGTGTGGACATGTTCCGAGTGCACAGAAAATGGTTCTGACATAAAGTGTGGGCATGTTCCAAGTACACAGAAAATAGTTCTGACGGTGTGTGGACATGTTCCAAGTGCACAGAAAATAGTTCTGACATAGAGTGTGGACATGTTCCAAGTGCACAGAAAGTAGTTCTGACATAGAATGTGGACATGTTCCGAGTGCACAGAAAATGGTTCTGACATAAAGTGTGGGCATGTTCCAAGTGCACAGAAAATGGTTCTGACATAGAGTGTGGACATGTTCCAAGTGCACAGAAAATAGTTCTGACAGAGTGTGGACATGTTCCAAGTGCACAGAAAATTGTTCTGACATAGTGTGTGGACATGTTCCAAGTGCACATAAAATGGTTCTGACATAGAGTGTGGACATGTTCCGAGTGCACAGAAAATGGTTCTGACATAGAGTGTGGACATGGCCTTAATATGCAGAAAATAGTTGTGACGTAGCATGTAGAGTGTACAAAATGGTAAAAGAGGTAAGAAATATTGTAGGGAGAAAGAAAATTTATCATGGAATAAAGATGTGGTGAAGGGAGTTATAGGAGAATGAAGGAAAGAAAAGAAGAGAGAGACAGAGAATGAAAAATAAGTAAATGGAGGAGGTACATAGGGAACGGAGAAGAAGGGGTCAATGACGGAAATGATGACAGGCGGGGCAGAAAGAGACAAGACAGAGACAGACAGAATAAAGCAGAAAACAAAGAGCAGCAAGGGGGAGAAGTAAAAGAGAAAAAATTGATCGATTCGTAGTCGTTAATTGTTCACTTGCACTTAATAGTAATTTCTTGAACCCAATAAATTTATGCAAAAGCTTGGTTGGTGGAAAACTTTCGGAAAAGGATCGAGTTGGAAACATAGGTGTAGATGGGAGGATAACATTAAAATAGATATTATATAAATATATTGTGAATTAGACTGAAATTCCATGCAATGAGTTGGAGTCGAACCCACAGTTGCATGCTGTCATCTTTTGGTACGTGGAACTCGTGTCCAAATTGTCTTCGCCTTCCATATACATTCTGTACATAAGAACAAACTCCGTGGCCTCTAGTCCGCAAGCGACTATACCGAGCGACCGCCGCTTGTCGACGAAGTTAGTGCCAACTTTAGCGGAGAGAAAGTGTCGCGTGGTCAGCGCAACGGATCCTCACGGCTTTTAATCTCGGTTTTCTAGACCGGAACCGCTGCTTTTCCATTCAAGTATCTCCTCAATTTTCCTCACGAGGCTAAGTTGACCCCGTTCCAGATCCACTAGTTCTCAGAAAATCTGTTAGAGCCGGGAATCGAACCCGGGAGCACTGCAGCTCTAGCCAGGAGCTCTGACCACTAGACCACAGAGGCGGTCATACATTCTGTACATCACGGAATAAAGGGCTGTTGAATAAAGATGAATTTTGTATGATTTCGATGGAAGTGGTCGTATACTAATCGTGAAATTTTTCAGCTAGGATAACTGATTATCCGACAGAATCAAGGAAGAACGTTGAGTTTTAGAGGTCTGTTCGGTTTGTACGTGGACTGTACACGCTGCAAGGGAAACCACACTGAACTGAATTGTTCAGTGCATGGGAAGTTTCAGATCTGGAACTGTTGACGTCTTGAAGTGTCTTTCTGTTTCACTATTTAAGTTTACACAACTTGACCCAATGTACAACCGATTATTTCTGCCGTCCAGAAAGACTGCAGACAGATCTGCATCGGCTCAACACCGTCATTCATCACTGGCGTGTAATAAGTAGTCAGAAGGTTCTAACGGCCCAAGATTTGTGTTACTGAAACGGTCGTTAATTAGTGGATCCTTAGTGTATGGGCACCGCCGACATGTTCTGCATACTTACTTCGGAACTGATTATTACGCCTGTAGCTGCAGCTGGACTGTCCTCATGGTCAAAGCCACTCATACTACGTGAAAATATACTGTGACATGACGGCTGAAAGCCGGAATGGTGGAGTCTGAACAGACGTCCATTGCCGAGCAACGGATAGGAAATCACGTTCCCGTTTTAACGAATAGCAGAGAACGAGTCGTTATGTTGTATTTTAGCGTCCTGTTGCACTGATTTTCATCCACGATACGTATGTAATGGCCGTCTTGTAGTGCACTCAATTTCATATGTCGCTTCTTACTACATGTTTCGGCAACATAGTGCCATCTTCAGGTTCGTTATTTACGCTAAGCTATTACATTGTTTGCCATCTTGTGTCTTTCATAAAATTATATAAATTTATTATTACAACGATCGCAGCCAAAAAGGAAGGACACATCACAGACACAGTACACACAGAAACGACCCCCACAGTGGACGAACCATACTATACACGAGTTTGAATTAGATATATAGATGAATAATCTTAACAAGTTTTAGTATATACAAATTTTATTATAGTTGACGAATAATGTACTTTCTGAATAATTTTATGAAAGACACATGATGGCAAACAATGTAATAGCTTAGCGTAAATAACGAACCTGAAGATTGCACTATGTTGCCGAAACATGTAGTAAGAAGAGACATATGAAACTGAATGCACTGCAAGACGGCCACTACATACGTATCATGGATGAACGAGTCGTTGCCAGGTAGCAAGTTACTCAAAACGAGATGTTTCTTAGCAACGGATAACATTTAGAAAAGCAAACCGTTGCTTGGGACATAGGACATGGCTATCGAGACAAGGCATTCATGAAGAACAGAAATGAAAATCTTTGAGACGGAGACTTCTATTCGGGCCGCGTGGAAGATATAAAAGGCAATGCATTTCGTGAATTCGAGAATACCTCCACCGTGACCCTGCGAGTCGTAAGCGGGAAGGGAAATCTCAGTTCTGAGACAGTAAAATGTGGTCGCGAGTTCCAAGGGACTTGGACCCGAGAAAGACTGCGCTGGTAAGAAACAGCAGCATATACAAAAGACAGACCTGTCCTCTCGTCAGAGAGGGCGCCCCAGAAGAACAGGATCGTAACTGTTAAACAGTAACAAATATCTGATCATGAGCCCCAGGAAGGGGCTCGACACCAAGACTTACTGACTGGCCGTCAGTCACAATGTGACTTTGACTTGAATTCAAGAGTGAGAGATTCTTCAGACAGATGTCGTTGAGAAGGAGTGCAATGTGTGAGCTGTTATAATGAACTGTAATTGTAAGGTAGGGCGAATGTACCCAATTATCAAATCCAGAACCCATTATTATTAGTCACGCAAACACCGTATACATGACAATAAATTCATGTGTATTAATATGCTTAGAGCTATTCCTAAGAAGTGTCAGTGTCAGTCATTGTGATAGACTGGGCCGATTCTAGGAGACGAATGTGTAAACATGCTCCAACCAACGAGCATCCAAGAATACGTGTATAGGGCGTCCGTTGCTAGGTGGACACGCCTGACAACAATACATGATATCCGTTGTTTGGCAGCGATGCGTTTTGTGTGGGTGGTCCGTTCCGAGCCTATATAGGGATCGATGTACACTGTTCGAGAAAATTCGTCAGGAAGACTTCGTTCAATGCAGTTCAGTAGTTGATGTACTTACGACGTGTAAATGATCGTATCAATTGAATTATCGAATCTGGAACCAATTATTTACTGTCGCGTTACGAAGATATACGTTACAATATGACGGTCAAGGTATATCACGGCCATTCCATTTCGGAGATTCGAAATAAGGTCCGAAGTGAGAAGATGTCTGCTTCTTAAGTATCGAAACTCTATCAAATACACATAGTGCTACAAAACTAACACAAATATACAGAGATATTGGGTTTTCGGACTTTATCCATTGTTCTGGTTTTTAAGATAACGAAGAAAAACACGACGTTTCGGAAACTGGATCTGTTTCCGTCCTCAGGTGAGGGAAAACACCTATTCTGTTGGGTCCCTCAGAAAGAGCTAGCTTCAATCAATGATTGTTTTTCTTAGTTATCTTAAAAACCAGAACAATGGATAAAGTCCGAAAACCCAATATCTCTGTGTGTTATACACCATCGTCAGAATCCTAAGTAACTAACTCAAATGTCCTCATGGTCAAAACCCCACCATCAGTTTCTCCTATGCAAAGGGGCGCCTTGCAGTCTTGCGACATCGATCAGATAGTAGTTGGGATGTTCACTCCTCTGAATTGGATTACCTTCAATTTAATGTAATGAGGAACGGGGTTAAAACGAATTTGAGGGTAGGAAGTGTCTCTGATCTGCTCCATACGGATGTTACTCTACAAACCAAAGTGACCGCTCGGCTCACTTCGGCTCCGCTAAGCACGTCACCGCGGGGAGAGTGGCGGGGTGATGACTCGCCTATTACGAGAGCGCTACGTTACCGCCACGTGCCGCTGGGGAGGTAGGGGTCCTCCGTTGCGCAACATGTCACAATATATTTTGAAGATTTGAGGTTTTCACGGCGGTGACTATGAAGAAAGCAGTCTTCTGGTAATTGGCACCGTGTATATGTGGTGTTAACCAACGTTTCGGACGAACGTATCGCCTCCATCTTCAGGGAGGAAGATGAAGGCGATACGTTCCTCCGAAACGTCGGTTAACACCATATATACACGGTGCAAAATCCCAGAAGACTGCTTTCTTCATGTATTTGGAAGTACGAGAAACTTGGCATACAATTCTCTTTAAAGCACTTTACTAAATTAATTAAAATATTACAGCAAGTACGAAGTCAAGTAAATTCGTGAAACACAATAAACTGTTCTCACTTCTCCTTCTCTTACAATTAAATGCCTGAACATGTTTATCACTTACTCATTTTCATGGGAAAACTTTGCTTGTATAACGTAAGAGTTACTGAAGGAGAAAGTCTTGTACCATCGTGTTCAGTAAGTGATCTTGCAGATTGGATAAAAAATATTAATATTCCGATAAAAGAGACTCATAATCATTTCTTTCAATAATGTACTGAAATATGATACAGAGTAGTCTTCTAGGCGGATACCAACGTTGCCTCCATCTTGAATGTCATTTCCATTCTGATATTATAGGAGGCAGCATATATCTCTGCAAGGTTGGTACCCATGTAGAGGTTTACGCGATGTCAGAACGGAAACCGTACATTCGCTGTAAGTAAAACCCCAGGAGTGAAATTAAAATATCCTTGGCTTATGAAGTATTTGAAATTACATACAAATTTTATAAATTCTAATAATTAGAAGTGGTTAGAGCTACTGAATATCGCGCACTGATTATAAATCTTAAATATCACATCCATTATATTGCCAATAATATGCTGAGATACAGAATCATAAGCCTGCTAGTGCGTTAGCGCCTGAAGAAAGTTAAAATTGAAACTTTAACATGCACAGTGCTGCATGTGCCACAAGAACTATATGGTATGTACGTAATAATGTATATTCATGCGTAAATTACGTAACACACTTTCAGTTATTCTTAACAAGTCTCTGTCCACTAGTGTATATGAAGATCAACGTTCGTGGTTCTCATTCGTTCTATGAGACTTGAGCGTTGGCATGGAGTCACGCGACGCCAATTTCTCAGAAGTCCGATTTCCCTCAGATGCTCACAGTGCTGTAGCAGTAGCTCAACTGTACTCATGGTTAAAGCCCCACGCCCAGTTTCCTCTACCCAAAAGCGCAGGATGTTTCTGAATGCGCCTTGCCGCGTTGCGTCACGGATGAAATCGTCAGTGAGAATGTCAAGTCTTTTGCACTCAAATACCTGCAGATTGACGTAATGTCTCAATTTGCGAACATCACTTTGATAAAAAGAATCCCCTACTAATTTAAATTCAGTCAGATTTCTATAATGAGGAAGTTCTGTGTCGATTTCTGAATTTTCATTCAATAACACAAATGTGCAAGCTTCCAGAACCAGGCTCTTCAAAGCAGAGCACATCATGACAATGTTGGAAATATTTACGTTTCGAATATAAAACAGAGATAGACTGCTAAGCCTGGTGCCCATGCCAACTAGGACCTCGGTCAGATTACAGTTTTCAGAGTTTCCTACCATAATTTGCAGGTTAACCAATCTGGTGAGTGCAATGAACTTTGTCAGATTTTGGTTAAAGGCATACACTTTGACTGTTGTGAGGTTAGGACATTTCTGTGTCATATTATCGATATTATGAATTAACCCAACATACTGCTTTATCGTATTGAGTTTCTCTTTCGATATATGATCGAGAACATCACATGTCTCTGACATCATGGCGATATTACTAATATTCGGTAATTCTGAAAGCAACGAACCATATAGCTGATAACTAATGTTTGTGTACAATAAGTGTACATATTCTAATTTTTTTAGTTTCATCAGGTGTTGCACGGATGTGTCTGTAACAGCACGTGAGTATTTGAGGTTAATCGTCTTCAGCTCAGTGCAGTGCAGTCCCAGCTCTTCCACCACATCATCAGTACAGTGATACTCATATTGGAAGTGCTGCAGATTCTTCAGATGGTGGATGTTAGTGGACATGAGCGCCGAATTGTCCGTTTCAGTTTTAGAATCAAAAGCTAAAATAGTTAACTCAGGTACACAGTCCAAAGTCTGGATGATTAATCTTTGTGTAAAACTGGAATATATATGTTTCATTTCATATTCTGTAGTGTTACTAAGCAGCACTGTCCGAAGAATTTTTACACACACAGAATTATGCATCTCGTTTTGATTCCACGGGGCCAAATTCAAATCGTTACAACTGTCATAAGAGTTCGTGATCACTGCAATAGTCTCCTTCAGTATGAGAGTGGCTTGGTGAACTGAAATTCCTGTCAGCAGCGATGTTAGAAGTTCGTGAACCGTGTCACAATCAGCCGTCACATTCTCCCTCTCCGTCACATATGCCATAATGCCAGCGGAAGCTGCCTGGCGCAGTGCTGTTATCCATGACTCACATGCACAACGTATCATCTTGACCACTCTCAGCAGAGCCAGGTCTGCCAGAGTCTTGGGTTGTTTCCGTTTAGGCATGGTGCTACCTGTGACCTGAAAATATTTTAATGATCATGAGGTAGTCACGCTTGACGTGTGGGACCGAGTACCCATCCTTCGGTCATTCTTTCTTCCTCTAAAAACGTGTATATTATTAGAAGATATAAAATCTAAGTGCCCGGATAAAGTAACGTTTAGTCGTCTACTATTAGTTGTAAGTGAATACCTTTGGATCAAATAGTGATCAGATCAATAAAAGTAAAAATATATAATCATTACCGCATGTAATTAAGCACCCAACAATTCCTATATATGGGAACGTGGAGGTAAATCTCCACACATCCTGTGAATTGCATACCGTAGTAGTTGGTGAGAATGTTCAAGTTAAGGAGGATGAGGTGGGCAGGGCATGTGGCACGAATGGGGGAGTCGAGGAATGCGTGTAGGATATTGGTGGGAAAGCCAGAAGGAAAGAGACCACTGGGAAGACCATGGCGTAGGTGAGTGGACAATATTAAAATGGATCTTAGAGAGATAGAATGGGATGATATGGATTGGATTGATCTGGCTCAGGATATGGACCAGTAGAAGGCTCTTGTGAACACGGTAATGAATCTTCGGGTCCATAAAATGCTGGGAAATTCTCGAGTAGCTGCAGAATTGGCGGCTCCTCCAGAAGGGTTCAGCTTCATGAGTAAGTAAGTAAGTAAGTAGTTAGTGAGAATATTGGAAAATCAGAAATGGAAAGACCTCGGAGCAGAGGTGGTGAGTGATTAATTTCGCACTCCGACCGTATTACACCCGGAGGAAGAGTCTTATTAATCTACTAATAGGAAATGTGAGTGGGCCCAGATTTGGTTATGGGAAAGGCGAAGAGAAAGGTATCTCTTGCACCTGCGAAGAATTGAACCATGGCGTTCGGCCTGTCCACTTTTCTACCATACAAAAACCTTCCCCATGTACCGTTACGCGGAAAATTTTGAAGACGCGACCTTCATGTATTATCGTGAATTTCCTGTCCAACTGACACAATCTAAACTAAGTTTACACTGAATATGGATTTTCCATAAAAATTGTAAATTAAATATAATGGAAAATTTTCCTGATTTTTCTGCTTAAGAACGTTGTGACACGAAACACCCATGAATTAAAGTAATTTAAATATATTTACATAAGTATATATTATGTTAAGTTGGCTAAGTTTCTCAAGCTGACATCCAAAAAATGGAGCGGAATTAGGGAATAATGATCAGTGATGAATTTTGACTGACTTGGTAGAAGGCCGTCTTGGTCTGACTGAGGCAAATCCCGGAATTTACGTCAAAGGACTAAGAGAATCTATGAAATTCTTCAGTAACCATAGCCGATTATCTGACAACGTCGAACCAAGCGAATGGGAAAAAGTTACCCCGACAGAGATAGGTTAGGTGTGTACATGGAGTGTATAGACTCTAGGGGAAATTACAGTTAACTCAATGCGATGACGCTGATTCGGAAATGCTGACTTCCTGAACTACCGTCCTGTTTCAGTGTTGAACTTTGGAACCTGCTGGTTAACATTAACTGCCTGAGGGCCTGAACCACTACAGAACGAGTTAGTGGCGGATCAATTCCATAGTCCGCCGCTGACATATAATAAATGGACTCAGTTCAGAACAACAGATTTTGTCTATTATGGGCGGAGTTTGTGTATCTGTTTCTATCATTGGATAATTAGCTAGTTCTTAATATGCAAAAACAACGGAAAGATCTGAGTACATGTTTTGGGATGAATTCTTTCGCCCGATCCGATATGTTCACTCAATTTTCCTTATCAAGAAGGGCGTTACGTATTTCCATAAGACGAGACTTGCTGTGCAAACATATAAAAAGCACTAGAGAATCTGGAAAAATTATGAAGGGAAGAGAATATTCGTGGCGCTGATCACGTAAATAATTTTATCTTCCCAGCTTAGTTCCAGGCCGGCTGAATAGAGTCTATGCAGTCTTGTCAGTACCATACGCAGGGAACATGTCGCAAACAATTCATCTTCACTTCACAGCTCAGATCACAATTCACAGTTACTGAAGCGAGAAAAATGTGCAGTTTGGCAGAAAGAGCACGTGTTCTGGCGCCCGGAATGACCAACGTGCCCACAAGAGGCTTGGGCTTTGAAGAAGAAAGTAAAAGAAAATATAAATTGGAGAGCATTTTCGATGGGGTGGTGTTCAAAATTTAACCCTATTGCGTCGATATTCGACTTAAGTCTTAGAAGCATCTATGAAGCATTACGGAGACATTCGACTCGATTCCACGTCAAGACAGAATAATAGACCGTGTCATAGCTGAAGCGGTTAGTCGCTGACTTCCAACGGCGGCGGCCCGGCTCGATCCCGGGTCTGGTCAAGTGGGATTTGTGGTGGACAAAGTGGCGCTGGAATGGGTTTTCTCCCGAGAAATTCGGTTTCCCCTGCTAATCTTCATTCCACCAAATTCTCCATCATCATAATCATCCGGGCAGGTACAATAGGGCAATCAGTGGCCGCCGTGCCGAGTGGACCCAGATGGACTCCACCCCCGCACTTAGCGAATTAAATAGAAATTAAAAGACAGAATAATCTCCTCTCTTTGTGTCATTCAGCAGCCGGGATAGCGCAGTCGGTATAGTGACTGGATAGGGGCTTCACGACCAAGGGATCGGAGTTTCAGTCCCAGTGGGGTCTAAAATTTTGTCTTCTCCATATCTTCCACACCGGCTCTGGGGCCCACCCAACATCCTATACTATGAGAACGTGGGGCTCTTTCCCCGGGGGTAAAGCGGCCGGGATGAGAAGCTGGCCACTCACCTCAAACTAGTGTCGAGGTTAAGAAAATATGGATCTTTACATCCTCTCCTCCATACGCCTTCATGGAGCAATGCTTAATTAGTTAAGCTCAGGAATATATTTTTTATGTAACTCGAATCGAGTTAATTAATTAATTAAAAATTAAATTTTCTTGCATTCTTAACAGTTTCACATACAAATCACATACATTAGGAGAAATATTGAGAAAATAATAATGAACTAAATATTTAGGAAATTTTCACCTATTCGAAGAGGTTTAGCTCCTGGGATCTAAGGCCATTCGATCGTTGAAATTCAACCAACGCTTTCTTCTTCCTACTTTCCTGTTCGGCTCATTCTATAACCCTGAAGAACCAGTGGGCATGTTCCGCTGAAATGTAATTTGAAATTCAACGGACTACACTGCTTTTTATCCCGGGAAACAGAAACTATTTGCCTAGCGACCTGTTGCTGCTTTTCAGTGTAAGAATATACCTTGACGAAAAACACTGATGGAAAATTCTTACGACAAGATATATATATATATACATTTAGTTTCCTGGAGAAAAATTTAGTTTATCGCCCTATATGACCGCTTTCGAAAGTTTCAAATAACTGCTCAGTGTATAAGGAATGTTGTACGGTAAGGCAAAGTTGTCCCCGTGCTCAACGAATTAAGCACTACGTCATGAAGGCGTATGGGTGGAGTGGCTGTATAGATCCACATTTTCTTCACCTCGGCACTAGATGGAGGTGAAGAGTCAGCTTCAGGCCCTTGCCGCTTTACCCACAGGAAAAGAGTCCCCGGTACACATTGGATAGGAGGTTGATGGACCCCAGAGCCGGTCTGGAGAATTTGGAGAAGAGAACATTCTTAACCCTAATTTTGTATGGTATGGGGCCAATATGTACACATTTTACAAGAACATATTTGATTTGTTTCTGATGTCGGAGCTTATAATATTAACGAAGATGCTGGTAGTATACACTCACACTAACACTCACGCTTGCACTCATGCCCATATAAAATATTGTTCATGGGGTGCATCTTGTTGCGTGTCGTATAATAACGTTTAATGGGACCGTCTACACAACAGTCATCTCAACGGTCAAATTGATACTGACGTACCAGCATTTGTTTATTTGGTAAAGGCGTCGCTACATGTTTCGACCCTTACAATGTCATCATCAGACGAATCTGTAGAAATGTCATTTTTTTGATTGCTAGTAGGGTGGGACTAAGTCCCTTGTACTGCGACCACTTCTGGCCTATTGTACCAGCCCCAGATGATAGGTGAGGGTGATTGTGGAGCAATTGGTGAAATGAAGATTGGGAGGGGAAACCGAAGTACTCGACGAAAACCTGTCCCAGCGCCACTTTGTCCACCACAAATCCCACTTGACCAGACCCCGGGATCGAACCCGGGCTGCCGGGGTGGAAAGCCAGGGACTAACCGCTTGAGCTATGGCGCGACCCAATGCTATATTTTAAGTCTGATTTTAAATTAGCTCAAAATCTAGGAGACTTTAGGTTGTCGGGTTTTCTGGTGGTCGTTGTTGTGTAGACGGCCTCATGAAAACGAAAATATCCGAACTGCGAAACAGTGCAGCACCAGAGCTTGTGTACGTGGAAGGCTCGGAGGGCTTGGAGAATGTGGCGGCAACAGCAGACCTGTCATTCATATTGCGTGTGAGAAATAAGACGTAACGCTTGTTACGTATTAACGGGTCAACCAATGAAATTTAATATTCTGTGGCCATGTTGTCACTGTGTTAGCACTGCCAACCATATAGTTTTGTTTATAATATTCAAACCTAAATTCTAAAATTAGAAATTTTGGAGATATTCGTTTTGAAATTCAAAAACCAAAATCCTAGCTTTTTGGACTTTTTGGAGAAAATCTGCATGGTTAAGATCGGGGTCTTATTTATATTAATAAATTTCTAAATTTGTCATAGCTGGTGGGTCTGACAACGTGGGGGAACAAATTAAGTATATTTGCGCCAACTGTTAATGCGTGAATACAACCTCACTAATGAAATTTCAAAACGAATTTATGCAATTGGATTTAAAATGAAGTTCACCTAAACAGATTCTCAGCGGGAAGTGTAGGAATGGACATTGAGTGAGGTTCCATGCACTGACATCTTCAGTTTCTGCTCCAGTTTGATTCTTTAAAACTTATACGAGTGTAAACATTAACCAGTTCAAGCAAACAAACAAAGATTGTGTTAGTACAGCAGCCACAGCTGTTGCAGAACTAGCGCTGAAATATATAATCAAATGATTCTCTAAAATGATGTGAAATTGTTGATAGATTATTCGAAAAAGATCTATGCATTGTCCTTGAGTTATATTTCATATACTTCGGTCTTCGCTAATTTTTCTCTTTCCTTCATCAGTAGGAGACCATTCCAGTGAGTCGAGTGCACTGGCTACTTCCGGTTTCCACCGCGTACCGCAAAAAGCACAATAGGATAAACACTGGATATTACAGCAAAAGAGTAAAAAAAAAAATGTAAAAATATCCATCTAACAGGCCGTGCGAGACGTCGAGGCTATCACATTTTCTAGACAATCGGCTCATATATGGTGGCAACTTTTTCAGCCCTACGAGCCGGCCGCTCTTTACCCCCAAGAATATTAATGGTACTCATTTCTGTTAGAGGCTGAGTCGACCCCAGGGCCATAGTGCGGCTGGAAGGGTTAGGTCAATCGAAAAAAATCCAATGACCTCATCGGGACTTGAACCCGCGACCTTCCGGCTTGTAGCATAGTGGCTCAACCAACTACGATATAGCGACAGCACAAAAGTTGTAACATATAATCCGTTTACGATATATTCCGAATGAGAAATCATTGTTTTATTCCGCTATAAAGTTCTCGGAACAAAGCTTAATACATCTGTCCCTGTTTCTCTTCCAACAATGTCCGACCCTTCTTAACTTATGTTACTATATGCTGTTCATATACCACAGTAATCCTGGGGATACAATAACAAGGACATAAAAATATTGTTAAATATCATAATAAATAATGCCAGTCCTTACAGATAATCTTCATAAATTTCTGTAGAATATGGCATAAGTAATACTGAGAATTACTTACTTACTTGCTGGTTCAACGGTGTTTCAGAACCTCGCCCTCTTGAAAGAACGAGGAAATTTCTTTTACTGTTCATTAATGCAATTTTCTTGTGCAGTTCTGATCACACAGACACATAACGACCCGTTCTATATTATTATGTTACACTTACAAGTGGCCACCTTGCATAAGAACCAAGTGTTACCTTACCTCCGGCTGATGTGTACCGTATGCCGTTACTGCACTGACTGGCAGCGAACACTGGTCCCATCGAAGAGTGGTGATGCCGGATCTGTGGTAATGCAAACGAAATTCCCTTCAGAGTAGGGAAATTCTTGTCTACAGTATATTTTCAACACCTGAGTTATGAATGTTAATTATGTGTGAATTTATTTATACCTTTTCTAATTCTGTTCGTTGGTTCTTTGACGTTGCTTTCAGAATATAGGTGTTCTGTTGTGGATTATTCATCAACATTTCATGTATCGAGGGTGTAGCTCTATTTTCCTTGGTTATATATCGACAATTTTGTTTTCTAAATAATCGAGAAATTATTCTGTGAGAAGTAGTGGGTCTGGATCGGGGCCCACTCAGCCTCGTGTGGATAACTCAGGAGCTATTTCAAGGAAATAGCGGATCCGGTCTAGAAAACCGAAATTAACGGCCGTGGGGATCCGTTGCGCTGACTACGTGACACCCTCTATGCGGTAATGTTGGTACTAACTTCGCCGACAAGCGGCGGTCACTCGGTCGGTATAGTTCGCTTGCGGACTACAGTGCACGGAGATGTTTATTTTTAGTATTCTGTACGACTGATTTTATTGGTTCGCAGCTCATGCAGAACTTACTGCAGCTGAGATAAGCAACTACAGCATCCACAGCCCACTCTGGAAAGACAAGCACGCAAGTCTTCATGTAAACGGTTGTTAATACGTTTTTTCTCGCTGCGATTATTAGGAATTTGTTACGAATATGAACACAAAATCATGACAGCAGAAACTTTTCTCGACTCCCTCTTATGGATTGACAACTTGTCCCGAAAGCTGCTATAGAAAGCAGTACCACATAGTACACATATACTTTTAGGTATGTTATTTGACAACGCTGTCAGCAGCGTGACTATACGGCGTTAGTGATACAAAGAGTAATTCGTTATTCTACTAATATTAGTAATTCAAAATAAACGTGTCTCTCCATTAAGACCCATACAGGTCGCTAAAGTTACAACTTTATGTAGATGTCATTTCTTAACAGATTCCAATTCGTATATTTAAACTTGCTTTGGGAAGAAATAAAAGAAAATGAGCATGCGTTTGAGAATCAAAACACGTAAATGTAATATGCAAGCCTGAATCTCGAGGAGGGAACAAAAATTAGGAATGCCATAACAAAGTTGGAGAGCTCAGGCTAAATTTATTGAGTAATAGGAACAGACCTGTAACATCGTGACTAAAATTATAACTGCGATAAAATATTAAGCAGATCCATTTTCAGTCTGACTCCTGTAAATGAGTTTCTTCATGGCCTGGGACACACTGCTGTGTAAAGCGGCCTGGATTGTCTTGACCTCTCTGCTACTGACTCTTGAGGCGGCTGGCTGAGACATCTGAAAACCGGCTGAGAGAATATGAGGATAGTTATTTGAGTGCGTGTGCACTGAGGTGTTTTACTGTTCTCTAACCCTGTTCTGGTGGAGTCGGGAGTCAGTATAGTGACTGGCAACGCCCCGGACGACAGGCACAACTTTATTTAATCCTGTTCTGATACACAAACCCTGATGAGGATTCATGACCTTCAATTCATTGATAATCATGGAATCTGCAGGAAGAATACATCAGTAGAAGTAGGCGTAAAGCTGAACATATTCCTGCTATCTTGGTTCATCTGACCGCATGTTCACTGTTCACTTTGCAATAATTTGACCAAATATGAATGAATTTTTATAAGCAAAAACAAGTTTCACATAAATTATGGTCGTTGGTACACCTGCAATTTCATGTTATATGTATCTGATTTATTTCACTTTAAAGTGGCCAATTCCTAAACATATTGTCACGATTTTGGGGTGTGACTATAGACAGGGTATGAATTGGATACTGGATTTTTTGACACAACTCGGAACTAGACGCAATTATAGCGCCATCGCTGGTCGGGTACGGCCGAAACATGTTGCAAAGAGGAGCAGTACGTGAAAGAATAGAGTTGTAGTTCAGTGATAAATCAGTGGAACAGGATGCTGAAATACTCTTACAATATTAATGTTACTTATCATCTTAACCTTAACCAGTTTAAGGGGAGATGCACTACTTCTAAGGCACATATAAGAGACAAAAGTGAGTAAAATTTCAAATGCCAGAAACATAAGAAGCGGACCTGTTTAAAGAATTTTATTAAATTAGTTAATGTATCAAAGCAATATAAATTCAAACAAAGTCGTGAAACATATTTAGGAAGGTTTACTTCTCCACATCTTAAAATTAAAAGGAACATTTGCATTTTCAGTCAGTACCACGGAGGGTCATTGCATCCACATGTCAAGGCTATTGAACTTCTAATCCAGTATAAACGTCTAACCACGCCACATTCAATATGCAGTCAGGTTGATTGGACAAAAGTATAGAAACAAATTAATATTTCGACAAAAAGGGCCTATAACTACAACCATTTGATTATATTGCTTTGGGCTATGTCACTGTGTAGACTAAAATTGTTTATAAGAAAAATGTTGTCTCCAGTGTCAATGTCTGTTCATCTCTTGTAATGGATGCAGCTTGCATCTCTGTAACGTTCATACTCTTCTACAGGATTACGCGCTGTCACAACAGAAGAACAGAATCCGGAAAATCATCCCAATATGGACCATATCATTGAAGAAATAATTTTGTCATAAAAATATCCGTGACATGTTTTGCGTCTGAAATCATTTAAAATTTTTAAAAATGTTAATAAACAGTGCTGATTGGAATCAATAAAATTCATGCACTGAATTAAGTTAACAAATGTCCCATTCATATCTGAGAATATTCTCGCTGAGGAGCCTAGCCTATGAAGTTATAACGTTAGGGTTTTATAAAGACTGCCTCCAAAATGCGCTTCTAATGAAAGTTAAAATTTGAAAATATAACATGCAGGGTACAATATGCATCATAAGAACTCTATGGTTATACATATTGGTGTTTGTAGTACATAAAACATAGTAATGATAACCAAGAAATTTGTGTTACCTAAAGAATATGAAGGTCACTGTTTGTCGTTACAATTATATTTCTGAGATTCGAGATAAATTCCGGTTCAACAAGACGCCAGCTTCTCAAATATCCAAGCTCTTTCAGATGCTCACAGTGCCGTATCAGCAGCTCTACTGTCCTCATGGTCAAAGCTCCAGGGGCAATTTCTTCTACTTTAAAGCACACAATGTTTCTGAATGCGCCTTGACGCACTGCATCTTCGATGAAATCATCATTGAGAGTGTTCACTCCTGTGCACTCAAGTATCTGCAGATTGACATAATGTTGCAAGTGGCGAAAATCAATTTCATGATGAGAATCCCCTAATAATTTTAAATCAGTCACACTTCTATAGTGAGGGGGATCAGTGCCGAGTATTCCATTTTCATTTAATCGCACAAATGAGCATCTTTTCAGAAGCAGACACTCCAAGGAAGAGCAGAAGTTTACAATTTCGACCATTCTTACATTTTTAATATGAACCAGATAGAGATGGCAAAGTCTGTGACCCACGCCAATCAGGACGGCATTTAAATTACAGCTTTCATAGTCTGCTTTTCTAATCTGTAGATGATCCAGTCTGTTTAGTGCAACCATGTTTGCAAGATTTTGGTTAATGTCATACATTACAACTGTTGAGAGGTTAGGACATTTCTGTGTTAGAACATTAATGTCACGAATATACCCGGTATATTGTGTTATCGTATATAGCTCTTCTTTAAGAATATGTTCGAAGATGTTATATGTAAGTGACGTTATGACAATGTTATTAATGCTCGGCAATACTGAAAGAAGTGCACCATAAAATTCAGTAGTAATGGATGTGAACATTACGTCCACGTGTTCTAACTTGTTTAGTGTCATCAAGTAGTGCACCGAGGCGTCAGTAACAGAGTGTGAGAAACTCAGAATAACAGTCCTCAAATTCCTACAGTGCAACGCCACCTGTTCCACCACTTCATCAGTACAATCACAGTTGTATTGGAATGACTTCAGATGTCTTAAGTGATGGATGTTACTTGCTACTAGGTTCGAGTTATCATTTTCGGTTTTTAAATCGAAGGTTAAAACAGTTAAGTTAGGTACACAAGCCAAGGTTTGAACTATTAGTTTCTGTGCAAAACCGGAAGTTATATCTTTCATATAATATACTCGAGTGCAAGGAAACAGCACAGCGTTAAGTATTTTTGAACACACACTGTCGTGATAATCTTCGTCATACCAAAAGGCGTCCTTTAACTCGCAGCAGGTCTCATCATACTGTGCAATCATGTTGATAATCCTCCTTATTATATGTGTAGCCAGAAGTTGTAAAATGTCTGTCGGTAACGATGTTAGAAGTTCGTAAACCGTGTCACAATCAGCCGTCACATTCTGCGTCTCCTTCAGATATGCCTCACTGCCAGTCAGCGCTGCTTCACGCAATGCTGTTATCCACGACTCACACGCTTTACGTAACAGCTTGACCACTCTCAGCATAACCAGGGCTTGCAGCTTGCAGGGCTGTTTCCGTTTAGGCATGTTGGTACCCGTGACCTAAAAACATTTCAATGATAACGATAAAGGTACCCTTTCCACAGTCATCTTTTCTTCCACTAACGATCGTCTGTATTGCTATAAGGCCTGGAATCTAAGTGCCCAGTTCAATTCACTACAATTGCACATCCGAATCTGGTATTTAGTTAAAACAACACTTGTCTATCACGCAGGAATATTCTTGGTAAGTTCTTGGGGGTAAAGGGCGGCCGGCGCGTAGGGCTGAACCTTACCACCATCTATGAGCTGATTGTCTAGAAAATGTGGGAACCTCAACATCACACAACCCTATGGGCCTCCAAGGCCTGTTACATGGATGCCTTTACATTTTTTACTTACTTACAAAGGTATCAAATTATCAATTCTAATGAGAAACATATGGAGCCACGTGTTTAATTACGTAGCCCGCAATATGGGTATATGGGAAACTGGAGATGAAGTTGCGTGCATGCTGTCAATATCATATCATAAGTGTTACACTGAACTTCGTTAAATTCTAAATGAAGGACTCCTTAGGGAATGTTAGTGACTGATGAATATCACACAGACTGGTTCACTCCTGGGAGGAGCGTCACTGCTACAGTTCCTCTGAGTGGACTCAAACCACGATGACCGTTCTTTCAGCCCGTGGAGCTTTTCTAGAATAAGACCCTTCCTGATACAGTTACACGTTGAGGAATTTGAAGACGCGGCCCACCCTACAGGAAGTTCTAACTCTACGCTGGATCAGGCGAACGCGGAAGATTGTTCTGACACCAAGAGTAACGTACTCGAACGCAAAGCCACTCACTGGACAATGTGATGGAGTGCGGTGGGAGGCCGATGCGCAGTAAACTACAGCCCAAACCCTTGTTCTATAACCTAACCAAAATTATTCCAAACCGAGACACTCAGTTTTTGGTCTGCCGGAGTGCGTAGAGGGGAGAATATGTAATAGTGCAGTGTGAGAAACTTCTGTGGCAACATAACCTAACGTATCCTAAAGTCCGATGGGCACTATTCTACTGCGCAAACTTCAACTGATAAAACAACCTAACGTATCCTAAAGGCCTATGCCACACACAAGAGAATCTGTCGGATTGCGGGCAGGTGGATACGCAGTAATATTCTACGCAATGCTTGTCTGACCATCCATACTTACCTAAAGAAATCGAAACTAAGGTCCCCCATACACATACAGTTTGGTCTTCCGATCGACCTTACAGGCAAAACTGTGACACTTTATCCCTTCCCTTTCCTCCTCATACACCCGCAGATAAAGCGGCAGGCTTCATGCCACAATCTCGGTCTTCCAGCCTATAATGTTGAGTGACACACGTCACGTGCTACGGTCCTGCAGGCAGAACTGACGGACTGACGGGTTTCCTACAGGCTAACAGTCCAAACGATTGGCCGGTCGGCCGCACCACACACGTCAGTTTCGCCTTTCAGTCTTCAACTGTGCAGGCCGAACTGGAGGCCAAACTGTGTGTGTATGGGGGCCCTAAGTCACTCACTAGAAGATCTATTTGAACGCTGGCTGCAGATCCTGGGATTTTAGGGAGAAATTATGAATAGGCGCAGAATATGGTAGCAACGAATATACTTTTGAATCGGTATTGAACAGTGACGTCATAAGCAGAAATATTTCTGTGGATAGCTGCACCAAGGAATGTGTATTATCCTTTTTGTTTTATAACGGCACTGCCATTAGTGGAACTGTTAGTGTACGCGGTAGAGCTACGAATGTACAAGTTTGCAGATGTTTTATTCGTTATTTTAATTTAATATCAGAGTGCAAATGCAGATGTTCTTCTACGATGTAATGATTGTCACGTTTCAAAGATTACGTCCCTTTTTGAATTTCAGACTCAAGAGATTCCCCTCTTTGACAGTTGGTTGTAAGCTATACTCTATTAAACTGTAGCTGCCTATCAGAATAAAAATATATTACTAAAATTCAGAAACTTGAAGCTCGAGGAGATAGTGAGATTGAAGAATACCGGAACAATATTGGAGAGATGAGGGTAATTTTGGCGACTATTGCCAACAGACTTGGGTGATTTAACCCTCTAAAATTTCATGACCATCATGAAGAATGCGATAAATTGTAAGGAAAATAATTTTCGAAACTGACACCCATGAAAATGAGCTTGCTCAGTATCTGAGACACAATGCGCTGTAAACAGAACAAGAATGTGCTGAACCCTCTGGTACGCACTCTTCAAGCCACTGGAGGGAGAATCGCTCTGCCCTTTTGCACAAGGCCAGTTTTTGTGGTTATGGGAGAGGGGGTGGGTGGATGGTTGCGCCAAGGCATTTCAGTTCGCTCTAACGCGGTTCTGAGGCAAAAGCTGAGATTAAGAGTCATGACCTTCATCGATACTCATGAAATCTGCCCGTAGCTTATGTCACTAAATCAGGTATAAGGGAACTGTTACCCTTCTTATCTGTTATCAAACTGCGTTCATAAGGAAGAGTTTTTTCTCTTTATATGACTGCGACAATTTCCTCCACAAGTATGGTATTTGGTGTACCTGCAACTGAATATTCTATGTATCTGGATTGTCCCATTTTACACTAACGTATTTCTAAACTGTTTATAATAATATTTGTTCCTAAGAATTCGAGTTTCTGTACCTATTTTTTTTTCGGTGTCTCATTAGGATATTTTATAGTATGTTACTTGGAATATTTTAAACAAATTTTGTTAAAAGCAATTTTCTACAATTTTTAAAAAATATAAACACCTTATTTTCATTTTTATACGTTTGGCATTGCTATCACTTGGAACATTGGACTCTTCAGCTTGAGGAGTCCAGATATACGAGGAAATGCCTAAGCTGATAGAAACTTGTAGGGGCGGGGCGGGGGAAGGAAATTTCCATTCTAACTGAGCTGATCTGATCGTTGCTTCTTACTAATATTACTGTGCTTTACATACTTAGACATCATGATGGAAGATGTACTACCTCAACTGCAAAACAAAGCGACAAACATGTATAAAACTGTAAGCATCACAAACTTAATAGATCAATGTTCATTAAGTATTTTATTAAACCAATTAAAATATTAAAGAATTACAGTCAAATAAATTCATAAAATATAATTAACTGACCTTCATTCTGATCCTCTTACAATTAAATTAAAGAACTGCATTAGCAATTAATCACTATACTGTAAAGTCAGTTTTCACATCTTATGGTTACTGAACTTCAAAACCAAAAGTAAACGAGTTACCGTGTCGTGTTCAACTAGTAATCAGACTTGGCATAAGGACAAAAGCAGATTAATTTTCGGATAAAAGAGGCATAAAAACATAATTCAAATGACAGTATTTTGAGTTTAATCATGGCGGTCTCCAATTGTTTTAGTTTCTGATGAAAGTATAAAATTTAAACTTAAACATGTCCACTACTGTATGTATCACAAGTACTACTATAGGACATAGATAGGGTAATATATATGTATGTGAAATTATATAACACTCTTTCAATTATTCTTAATGCAGTCTCTGCTGACTAATAGTATATACGGACATCAAGGTTCATGGATCTTATTCTCCTTCTGAGTTCTGTGCATTGGCTTTGAGAGAGAAGACTCCAAGTTTTCAAGTATCCGATCTCTGTCAAATGCTCACAGTGCTGTAACAGTAGCTCAATTGTCCTCATGGTCAAAGACCCAACATCACTTTCCAATACACAAAAGCGCAGAATATTTCTGAATGCGCCTTGTCTCATTGTTTCATCGATAAAATCATCAGTGAGGATGTCCACTCCATGACACTCTAAGTGTTGCAGATTGACGTAATGTCGCAAGTGACGAAAATACATTTGGTGAGGAGAATTATCCAATAATATTAATTCAGTCACACTCCTATAATGAGGAAGATCTTTGTCAATGATGGAATTTTCTTTAAATGGTAAAAACGTGCATTCCTCCAAACTGAGAAGCTTCAAAGAAGAGCACAAGATAACAATGTGGGCAATATTTACATTTTCAACAAAAGAAAGACGTAGTTCGTTAAGCCTCTCTCCCATGCCACTGAGGACGGCGTTCAGATTAAACGAGTCAGAATTTCCTATCATAATTTTCAAGTTAACCAATCTCGTCAGAGTAGTCAAGATTGTGAGATCATAATTAAGGGAATATACTTCCACTGTTGTGACGTAGGGACATTTTTGCGTTAGAGTATATATATCACTAATAAACCCTTTAAACTCTGTTATCGTGTAGAGATTCTCTTTTGAAATGAGATTGAACAAGGGATATATCCGTGACATTATGTCGATGTTCGTGATGCTGGGTAAATCTGAAAGCAGGGACCCATATGCCTGAAAAGAAACGGTCGTATAGGTCAAGTTTAAATATTCTATTTTCTTTAGTTTCAACAGGTGTTGCACGGAAGCATCTGTAACCGCACGTGACTCTCTGAGATTAATCGTCTTCAGCTCAGTGCAGTGCAGTCCCAGCTGTTCCACCACATTGTCAGTACAGTGATACTCATATTGAAAGTGTTGTAAGTTCCTCAGATGGTGAATGTTAGTGGTTAAAAGCGACGAATTATCCATATTGGTTCTGGTATCGAAAGCTAAAGTAGTTAACTCAGGCACACAGTCCAAAGTCTGAATAATGATTTTTTGTACAAAACTGAAATATATGTTTTTCGTGTCATATTCTGTAGTGCAATTTAGTAACACAGCTTTAAGCATTTTTGAACACACATTCATGTGGGCGTCTTCATCGTACCAAGGAGCGCGTTTTAATTCGTAGGACATACCATAATAAACAGAGATTATCGAGATAAACTCATTTATTATTAAAGGAGCGAAATGTTTGGAAACTTCTATCGACATGGACGTTAGATAATCGTGAACGTTGCCACAATCAGCCGTCACATTCAGCGTCTCCTTCAGATATGCCTCACTGCCAGCCCGTGATGCCTCACGCAGTGCTGTTGTCCATGCCTCATAGGCACAACGCACCGTATTGACGATTCTCAAGAGACACAGTTCTTTCAG